GTTACAATAAGGTAACTGGCTATATAAGTATAATGAAATCTTATTCCAGGTGCCACACATCGCCTATTTCTTTCCTAAAATCATTTCACAAACAGTGACAAATAGTGTACTGTTAGCTGGAATACAAGAACGTTTGTGACCAGCCAGGCCGCCTTTGTTTCCAGCTACTGATCAGTTGAAACCAAGTACAGCCAATAAGCAACTAGCACTACATCACCGCTGCCGGCTGCAAAAAAATGCCGAAATTGAGGCTTCAAACCAATGTGTGATATCATAATAGAAGGGGCCCTAGTAATACAGGATATTTAATTTTAGGGATTAAAATGATAAAAACAAATACATTTAGTCCCAACCAAGATTTGTACTGAGCAGGGTATTAAAACTGGGTGATATCCAACTAAGACTTCTTTGTCAGCTCATTTTGTTTCATGTTTAATATAAAATAAATAAGAAAGCTTCCAAGACTTTTTAATGGAAGAAGTTCAGTACATTCATGTAAAATAGTATAGAATTGCTTACAGCATCAACTATTCTGAAGGTGTATGCACCAGGACAGTATTGTGAGAAATTGGTCTTCGCTTTCCAGAAAGCTTAGGAAATGTAAGTACTAGAAGTATAGTATACGTAGCAGCTATTCCATCAAGAAGGTGTGGTGTATCAGTGGGTTGATCATGGGACCTCCCTGCAAGAGATTGGTTTAAGTTCTGTGTGAGGCAGGTTTTTATATTTATACTGGCTTTCAATTTAGAAATTTGGATCCAATAGAATGTCACCATTGCAAATCCAAGTGAAACATGGTCTCAATGTGAATGTTATATCAATAGTCAATATATCAATTACTTTTGACTGTCTTTTCAACTGAAAAACCATGTTGTTTCAATGTCAAAATCATAACCCTAACAGCAACTGCAACAGTAAACGTCACTTGAATTATTATTATTATTATTATTATTATTATTATTATTATTATTATTATTATTGTTAAATGTAATTGGCTAGTAACCAAGCGTATACCCTTTATAGAGACATTATTTGCTGGTACTTTTTTAAATTACTGTCTATTGGATGCAGGAAAGCATGTATGTCAACAGAGAGAAAATGTTGTTTATAAACCTGCCATCTTTAATGATGCGGTAAACTAATGTTGAGGTGACTGAGAGTCAGCACTGCTTCAGTAACAAGACAGCTTTCACTCTCATTCGCATGCCTCAATGTGTGCATATTTACTCTAGCATTTTGCCACTGGCCTAATATTCCCTCTAATATTACCAGTTGTGGCCATCTGTTCTTATATGGGATGGCCAGACATTAGGTAAGGGGGCTTAGTCATTCCAAATAGAAAAAAAACAGTGCATTGACTGTAACTGTACTAACACATACTAAAATGTTGCAAACACATTTACCATTCCACAGAATGAGTTTAACGCTCTATGGTTATATATACAAAATGTACTGACACTAGATGTGGCATGTCACATTAGAAAAGAAACAATTGATTATTTACACAAGATTGTTTAAGCACAGTGGGACTTGGAACTAATAGGGTCCTGGTGAAAGCTGATTTAGACATGCTTTAAACTAATAAATAATACCAACACTGGACTGGCCCTCTGTCCTTCCTTGCCAGATCCTGTCTCTGCAGGCGGACGAGGTGCAGAAGGAGAGCCAGGTGGAGGAGTATGAGAGGGAGCTTGCCAGAGCCAGGTGGAGGCTTAGGAAGCTGAGAGAAGAGGTGAAGCAGGCCAAGAGGAAGGTGGAGGAGGCTGGAGAGAGGAACACTCCTCTGCAAGACTCCATCAGGCAGTCCTATGAAGAGATCCTGCAGGTAAAAGAGGATGTTTACATCTGTGTGTGTGTGTGATGTCCATAATGTGATCATAACAAAAAGATGTATTATACATTATAAATATTATTTTGAATATTCTAAAAGTGTATTTTCATCACTTAGCTTAAAACCAGACTGAACCTGTGCAGTGTCCTCATTATAATGTGTTAATGTCAAATGTTTTTGTTTGATTTACTGATTTTAATTAATAGCAGGATTCAAAGAAAGTAGACTTAACACTTCTCATATCTATGTTTCGATGGAGCCTTTTACTTCTCTAACAATCAGAATAAGAGCTCAGCAACATCTTTATCTGTGTTTTATTCTGAAAGAAATTCATCCCATTTGAATGGTTGGATTAAACCCCTAAATCACTTATTGAACAGAATAAAATCTGTAATTTAAACACGAGGAGGAGAGAGAGAGGTTGTGATGTCATTCTCTGCTCAGGACACCATCATTCTAAATCGCATACTTTATATAACCTTTAAAGAGAAATCAGTCTAAGTCTATCTCTGTTTTCATGTCTTTTGTGTAGGAGGAACACACTCTGTGTTCGCTGTCAGGAAGTGCAGTCACTCCAGAAAGCCAGCTGGAGGAGTCAGCATCTCCCGCAGACACCACTGAAGATGATCCGCTTCCTATGAGGCCATGGGGAAGGAGCCAATCACTGCCCGCCTATGCTGACCTGATAATGGTAAATCACAGCAATCATGCTGAGTAAACAACACTGTGGATTCTTGCAGACTGGGGATGTGGAGTTGGACATTGGCATTTACCAGACAATGAGGGTCTAAAGGACAAGATCGTGTTGCATTATGGGAAGTGTAGAATCCAGTGTTTTGGCTCATGACCCATACTAAGGAGACATTTCGCACAAGTCCCCAAACTTTATTCCAGTTCACTACCAAGGGCTCATGCAGGCTATGAGGCTTTTGCACAGTTTACATATTTGTCCCAAACAAATCTCATAGATCTGGGATCCACGCTTGTGCCTGTATGGTCAGTCCTCTAGTTCAGAGAAATGAGAAATGTTTTCACACAAGTTTGATTGCTGAAAACAAGATGCTACTGTAGTTAGGGCACCTTGAAGACAGAAGCAAGAAAAAGAAAAGAAGCATCCCACTAATGATATGATCAATCCAACAGGAGTCATTAAATAAGATTTATGTTGAACAGGCAAAACAAGGACATAATAAGACGCATCAAAGGCATGCAAAATATACACAATTAGTAGTAGTAGTATTAGTATTCATTTTTTGTTATATTAATCTGTATATATGGAGCACTCACTCTTAACAACACAACTTATATCAGTAAGATTTCTGTAGATTAAAGGTTGATTTATATAAATTTTCTCCACCACAACCTTTGCCCAACCTCACATCAACATGACAACAGAGTCTTACTCCTAACTCAAATATGCAAATATGGCAGCTTGCTCAGTGGCCCTATGCTTCAAACTAGGTAGACTGTATGCAACCTTTAACGTCATTACAATAATAAATATGCAACATCTGGTTAGACTTTCAAAATAAAGCTTGCTGACAAACATTACACGTTTAATGAGTTTAAACAGTTGCAGTTTGGTTAGGTTTAGACACAAAGCTACTTGGTTAGGGTTAGGAAAAGATTGTGGTTTTGGGCTCAAATAAGTCCATTACGTACTTATTTAGGTGAGTAAGTTACATTACATATTAAGGTTTGGCGATATGTTCAAATGTTCCACCTGTCTGGCCACCATCAGTCCAACAATCTGCAATTGCCGATACATTCGTGTTTATATGCGCATGTGCTGCACCACTGCCCCCTGCCCCATTAGTTGCAGGTGGGAGATGAGTGGCAGCCTTTCTACATGTAACAAGCGCTAACAACTTCAGTAACCAAAATAAACCAAAATAAACTCACCAAATATTAAGAAAGGAAAAGTCTTCATTAAACAACTGTACACCCTCTGAATTCAAGTTTCTCTCTTTTACCAAATTAAGACTTTGTTAAGCGACCTTAAAACACTCTTCATTCAAACTCAACAAACAAAATAAAACTCGCCAAACCGTTTTCAGTCTTTACACTGTTCCACTACACCTCACTCCTCTACCACTTCACGCCTCTCTGTCCCAGCCTGTCCCTGCTGTGTCCTCTTCTTCCCCAGAGTTA